AGGGTGAGGCAGGCAAAGTGCAGGGAAAACCTGGTGTGTGGAAACTGTTGCCACTGCAAACACCTGAGCATTCACCGCCACAATGAGAGCTATGTGGAGAACCATCTTTGGGTGGAAGCAGTCTTCTTAAAGAGTTGGCAACAGACTTCACAGAGGAGGAGGAGGAGGAGGAGGAGGAGGAAGAAGAAGAGGCCGTCAAGTCACAGCAGACTCATGGCGAACCCTGGTGGGCTTTCCGAGGCAAGAGAGGTCCGGAGGTGGGTTGCCACTGCCTGCCTGCCTGCCTCTGCCTGTGCACAGCGACCCTGGACTCTCGTGGCGGTCTCCCCTCCAAGCACTGGCCAGGGCCGACCCTGCTTAGAGCTTCCGAGATCTGACATGAGACTGGGCTAGCCGGGGCCATGCAGGTTGCGGCTAGAGACACGGGGAAGTGGTTTGCCTCGGCCTGCCCCTGCAGAGCATCCCTCCAAGCACTGGCCAGGGCCGACCCTGCTCAGCAGCCAAGTTCTTCTGGGAAAGCGCAGACCCATCATGGAATCATCCCAAGGCTGAGCTGAACAGAAAGATGCAACCCGATCAACCGTCTCCTGTCTGGCCACAGCAGGCTGGTTAGAGACAACCTTCACCACCACCATCAAACCCCATCCTCTCCCCCTCTCCATGCCATGGCTAAGTACCACTTTCCCTGTGAGATCCCCGCCTTCCACAAATGGGCCGATGCATCAGCCAAGGGCACCACCCGACATGCTTCCAAACAAGAAGCCTCCTTTGTCTGGTCTCCAGGAAATGAGTCATGAGGTTTCTGTTCCAGGCAGCAGCGGGAGCTGGGGGGTGAGGGGCTGTTTGCAACAGGGGGGTGATTTATTCCTGCTGGCTGCTATTGTGCTTGGCAGTTTTCAAATATTTTAAATATTACATTTGCACTCAATTAGCTACTGTTGGATATACCAACATTTTCAATGGTCTTAAAATAAATAACCAAATTTAAATCTGCCCCAACATCTTCAGGCCACCGTTCCCTCCCACTTCTCTCCAGAGCACACACAACCCGGCGCGGCTCCCACATCCTGCCTCTCCCGCGCCACGGTCACTGCGGGCCAGCCACAGGCTGTGAGCCCAGAAAGGGGCCCGGGTGCCGCTCCGGCAGGGCATGGTGGCTGCAGAAGGGAACGCACTGGGGGTGCCAGCCGCACGCCTGGCCGTGGCCCTCGAAGCGGCACTCTGGCCTTTCCCTCACATCTCACGCCATTTGCCGCCAGCCGCACTCGGGACGCTGGTTCCACGCAGCACCTTCACGTCGGCCCCAGAAAGAGCCGGCAGTGCCCCTGCCTGTGAGCAAGATCCTTCTGCTGTGTGTGTATCAGCTCAGCCACAGTCCTGCGACTCCAACCATGTGCGGCGGCAGCAGCAGCAGCAGGGGGAAAGGCAAACTCGGTGCTGGAAGGGGAGTCTCAGGAAAGGGGCTGGAAAGGAAACGGCCAGCGCTGCCGCTGTCTTGCCCCTCCTCTGGAATACCGTGTGCAGCTCTGGCCGTTCACCTCAAAAGGGACTTTGCAGAGCTGAGCAAAGTACGGAGGAGGGCGACCTAGATGGCGAGTGGGTGGGAACACCTTCCCTAGGAGGAAAGGCGGGAGAGTCTTGGGGGCTTTCTTCAGTCTAGAAGAAAAAAAGACTGCTAAGGGGAGACATAACAGAGACATCATAGAAACTGTGTCGGGGTGGAGAAAGTGAGCAGAGGCTGGAGCTCCTACTAGCCCCTACAGTGAGGAGAACCTCCCGACACAGGAGGAGGCAGCAGGCCTCGGACTCCCCCGTCTGGAGAAGCGGTGTCAGGCGAGGGCCCCGGCCTCCTCCAGGCCCTGCTCAGCAGCTGGTTGGCTGCTGTGTGCAAGAGGGTGCAAGAGGATTAACGCTGTGGAGGGAGGCTGGCTGGCCCGAGGCGATGCTGCTGCTGCTGCTGCTGCTGCTGCTGCTGCTGCTGCTGCTGCTGCTGCTGGGGCTGCTGGGGCTGCGTGGGGCCTGCGGATGCCAGGGAGGGGCAGGCCCACACGTCGGGCAGGGACCAAAAGGCAAGGGCCAAGAGGAGTCGGGGCTGGTCAGGAGAAGGAGGAAGTGCAGGACACGTGGCCGTAGAGGGTGCCGTGAAGTCACTCCCTGGGAAGGACGCCCAGCGCAGGGTGCTGTGCCTAAAGGCCAGGCACAGAACAGAACTAGCCTGCTGGCCACGTGTTTTGGGAGCCCTCAGGGACCAGGGGCCTCCCTCCCACTCCACCTGCTGAGCACCACCCCCCCCCCCCGCCTAGAGACCCTCCCTTTACCCACTTGCCCTTTTTGCTTCACCTTTGCCCCCTGGGGGGGCCGGGATTAGCCCCTTCTTCCCAGTTCATTCACACGGCTCACGTGGCAGGAGGGCATTGTCAGCTATGCTGCCATGCGGGTTGGGGAGTTTACTCTGTGTCTTGTCAATTGCTATTGCATTCCTATCCCTGCTGTTACGCCTTTGCTGGAGGAGGAGGTTGTGTTGCCTGGAGGGCTCCTATGTACCGTGAGAGACTCCTGGTTCCCAGCTTTAGCCACCTAACGGTTGCCTGACTTATCCCGCGTGCGGGAGGGTCCCTAATTGGCCAATGCCATGGGGGGGGGGGTGCATACGAATACCCTATATCCTAGTAGGCTCTAGTAGCTGTGGCCATTCATTCTTAACAGTGCCTGTGTTACTGCATCTATAGCTTTGCAATAAAAGTATAACCGTTCCTGAATGCGGGTGCTCCGTTGTGAGCTGTGGGTTCTGACAGGCATTAATTGATCTTTGCTGCCAAGCAATAACTTTAAAAAAATTACCATTGTAGTTGTATAACTGTGGGATTGAAACTTTGAAAACCAAAACTAGGAGCAATGACTCCCTACCCCCACCCCCTGGATACGCACATGGAGAAAAAACGAAGCCCTTCAGAGACCCCCCAAGTCAGAGGCCGCCTGGCCCCCTTTCCCACACGCCCACTCCCTCCGTGACACAGGCCCCCCCCCCTTCTCTCGCCCTGCCTGCACAGACGGGTCCCAGGGAGCCGGCGGTGGCTCCTCCAGACCCTCTCGAGTCCCCCCCCCCAGACGTGGTGGTGGGCTGGCCCAGTCCAGGCCCGACGTGCCCCCCCTGCAAGCGGGCCCCAGCCCCGGCCTGACCTGGTAGTCCAGCATGAGCAGGAGTGTGCAGCGCACGCTGACGTCCCCCGGCCTCTTCACCTGGAAGCCATCCGTCTCCTGGGTGGTGGGAGTCCGGTGCCACTGCCGGAGGGAAGCAAAGGGAACAGCTGAGCAAGGGCCAGCTCGGGCCAAGGGGGTTTGGGCAGCAGAGGCCGCGGCGGCCCCCCCGCCCCCGCGGGGCTGTTAGCCCCACCCCACCCCACCCACCCACCGAGGGCAGAGCACGCGAAGTGCGCCCAGCCTCTTTATTTCTGCAGGACACCCGTTCCCTGCCTCTCCTCCTCACAAGCCGCGGAGGCAGGCTCGCAGCAAGAGGCGAACACACACAGAGCCATTAAAACACACGCAACAGTAAAACACTGTCCGAAAAAGCTGTGAATCGATGGAAAACAGAGCAGCAGCAGCAGCAGTAGAAGGAGACGCCACTCGTGGGTGGGGCCTCCGCCCGGCACCTGAAGGCCAGCAGGTGAGAGGCATCTGGTGCCTTCCTGGGGGGAGGGCACCCCCCCACGGCCACCGCGCCACCGCAAAGGGTGCCCCGTCTCTGGCTGCTCCAGACCAGTGTTCCCTCTAAGCTGGGTTAGTGTGAGCTGGCCCACAGTTTTTTAGCCCCTGGCTCACATATTTTTGTCTCAGCTCAGGAAGGATGGGGCTCCAGAGCAAACTAATTTATGCAGCAGCCAAATCGCTCGCTCACAACTTTAATGCCGGTAGCTCACAAAGTAGAATTTCTGCTCACCAGACTCCCCAGCTTAGAGGGAGCATTGCGTCCAGACCACCCGTGCGGTGTAGTGGTTAGAGCCCTGGAGTGGGATCTGGAAGTTCAACTCCTCACTCCGTCATGAAGCTTTCTGGGTGATCTTAGCCCAATCACACTCTTCAGCCCATCAGACCTCACAGGACCGTCGTGAGAATAAAATGAGGAAGGGGAAATTGTGTCTGCTGACCTGAGCTACTTGGAAGGAGGACGGGATCAAAATGCACCAGGGGGGGGGGGGAGGGCTCACAGAGCAGCAGATCTTGACAAAGAAGCAGGCGCACGGTGGAGCCGCCATCCTGACAGGGGCGTGGGGCCCAGAGGCCGCTCAGGGCTTTAAGGGTCAACCCCGCGCTGAACCGAGCCCAGGAGCAGACGGGCGGCCACCGCGGTCCTTCCGGAGCGCCGTCACGCTCTCCCCCCAGCCCCAGCCCGTGGAGGAGGTTTCCAGACCACCCTCAGAGGCAGCCCCACGTCAAGCCGCCCTTGACCGCCAGTCCTCTGGCCAGCAGCCTGGGCTGGAGAGCAGCACGGCAAGGAGGCCCGTCCCACTGCTCAGGGCAGGGGCTGCAGCTGATGCCCCAAGGGGGGGGGGGCGGACTGCCTTCCCGGGCCGCAGCACTGCACCCCTGTAGGACGAGATCTCGCGTCGGCCCTCCCCCAAGCCCCAAACCTCCTCCTCCTCCTCCTCCTGTGGGAGCACGACCCCATCCGGAAGAGCCTGACCCCTGAAGAGCCAGTCTGGTGTGGTGGGCAGGAGTACGGACTCTAAGCTGGGAGGACCGGGCTTGATTTCCCCACTCCTCCTCCTCCTCCACGTGCAGCTGCCGGTGTGACCTGGGGTCAGTCACGAGTTCTCCCGAGGGCAGTTCTCAAGAGAGCTCCCTCAGCCCCACCGACCTCACAGGGGGTGTCTCTTGCGGGGAGGGGGAGGGACTGTCAGCCACTCTGAGGCTCCTAAGGGTAGTGAAGGGCCATGGGGTATAAATCCAATCGCATCTTCTTCTTCTTCTCCTCTTCTTCTTAATCCTTGGCCCCCAACTTGTCTGAACTGAGCATCCACTGACCACAACAATTCTGGGGCAAAGAGCTGGGGTGTGTGTGTGTGTTTGTCACTGTCAGCCAGTTTGGTGTAGTGGTTAAGTGTGCGGACTCTAATCTGGGAGAACCGGGTTTGATTCCTCACTCCACTTGCACCTGTTGATGTGACCTTGGGTCAGTCACAAGCTCTGGCACAGCTGTCCTTGAAAAAGAGCAGTTTCTGTCAAGAGCTCTCTCAGCCCCACCCACCTCACAGGGGGCGTCTGTTGTGGGGAGGGGAAGGGAGAGGAGTTTGTAAGCCGCTCTGAGACGCCAAGTGAAGGACGGGGTATAAATCCAATCTCTTCTTCTTCTTCTTCTTCCTTCACAATCCCTGGATCTCTCCCCCCACAGTCTCGTGGGGCTGTCCAACAGGGTGGGAGACAGAAGATGTGGACCCAGAAGGGCCTTGAAGCACCCATGCTGGGGATCCACACGCATGACCTCGGACACCCCCTCTGGAGACTGACCAGTCAGAGAGGCCCCACTCTGTCCAGCCAGCCAGGGAAGACGGCACAGCGGGTGGTGCCAAAAGCCCCTTGGAGGGGCAGACGAACTCCCCTCCTTCCCTCGCGGTCCTCGGTCAGAGAAGCTGAGGCAGCTGCAGACCCCAGGGCCGGGCGGGGAACCAGCGCGGGGGGGATACACACCGGTCTAGACAGCCCCCTTTCCACCCCCCACCCCCACCCCACCACACAGAGTGAATGTGAAATGGATGAGATGACACTGCAGAACCAATCAATAATACTGGGGGGGGAGGGGGCAGCCCATTTTACTGCACCAGGTGAGCATCACAGGCAGACTGGTGGGGGTGGGGAGCCACCACACAACCAGGGAGAGAGAGAGAAGGGCACACCGGCAGCACCGGCAGCACCACCAGCAGCAGGCATACGATGGGGTGTGTGTGTGTGGAGGGAGGCTCCGGGCCTCCTTGCCCCCGCGAAGTTGCACATTCGCCACTGACCTCCACCAGGTGATTGTCAGGTCCGTACAGATCCTTGTCCAGCTCAATGACTAAACTCTTGAAGAAGGAGGAAAACTTCCGCTTCTGCTTGCTGAGCTATGAAACCAAAAGGGAGAAGCATCAACAAGTGTGACCTCTTGCAGGAAATGGGGAGGGGGAGAGATGCTCCTCCTTAAAGACCCGGTCCCACGTCTGGCAGAGAGAGACCCCCAAAGGCATCCCAACTCTATGGGGACTGTTTCAGATAATAACCTCCCCGGGCCTGCACGGCTTCCGCTCCTCCCTCAGATGAATCCGTCCATCCGCATCCTCACTGCGCTCAGCCAAATCTGTCGACGCAACCTCCCAGAGCCCCACACTGCCACTGGCCCTTCTAACAGAGTCAGACCCATGGAGCCAAGCTCTGTGCGCGAAAGCTCCCTGCACTGCCTGCTCTGGGACGGGACCCTTGCTTCTTCCGTCCTCCCCATGCCGAGATCACAAGAACCCCCCCTGCTCCCCCCCCCCGCCTTCTTCCATTTGCACAGGGGCTGGGCCAGGCAGTCTCCCTCAGGAGCGTGCCAGGTCCAGTATTCTGTTCAGGATGGGCCCGGGGGGGGGAGGGGGGTGCCCTCCCATCCAGACAAGCCAGCCGTCCCTCTTGAGCCTGCCTCCCTCCAGCCCTGCCCACAGGGAAACAAGGGCACCCCCCCTTGCCCATACATCATCCAAGAGCTTGCCCTCCACCCGCAGCTCCCAGGAGGCGATGCTGCCGTCAGAGTCGTCTGCGTCCGATTTGGCAGGGTTGAACGTGTTGGAGATGTAAAGCCGCAACTTGCGTTTTTGCTGTGGAGGGAAGGACAAAAACTAACATGGGGCAAGAATATTCATAGAGCCAAAATACAACATACATTCATAGTGCCATTATACAATCCAAGCAACATTTCTGGAGAGTTTAAAGGCCATTTGTATTACTAAGTTCAAGTGAATGTGAACCAGAAAACTATGGGTTGAAACCAGAGATACTGTTATGGAAGAATGCACAAAGACTATTCCTGTAGCCAAAAGAAATGAAAAGCCTCCATGGATAACTGATGAAACTCTTAAAATTGCAAACATAAAAGGTGAAACAGAATCAAGTCTAAATGCAGCATTCCTTGCAAGTTGCACATAGAGACAAACAGAACTACTAAAATAACCAGTGTAAAGAAATAGAAGAGAACAACCAAAAAGGAAGAACAAAAGATCTGTCCGACGAGATCCAAAGGATCAAAGGGAAATTTAAAGCACGGCTAGGCATGCTGAAAGATCCACACCAAAATATAACAACTGAACAGGACAAAATAACAAAAAGATGGGAACAATACACTGGAGAACGATACAAAGAGGATGGCGCACCAACTCAGAGAAATCTGATGTGGCCACAGGCTGGATTATGGCAGTGTGATCTCCATGAGACAGCTCTTGGGCAGTCCTTGGAAATGAGAGACTTGAAAGGCTGCTGCCTGACTGTGGATGGGGAACTGAAGTCATGACAAACGTTCAACAACTGCAGCATCAAGTACAGAAGAAGAGATTGGATTCATACCCCTTGCCCTTCACGACCCAAAGGGGTCTCAGAGGGGCTTACAAACTCCTTCCCCTTCCCCTCCCCACAACAGACACCCTGGGAGGTCGGTGGGGCTGAGAGAGCTCTGACAGAAACTGCTCTTTTTCAAGGACAGCTCTTATCAGAACTATGGCTTGCCCAAGGTCATCCAGCAGGTACAAGTGGAGGAGTGGGAAATCAAACCTGGTTCTCCCAGGCTAGAGTCCGCCTGCACTTCACCACGACACCAGACTGGCTCTCAGCTGGTTTCTTCTAATGCAGCAATGCTGAGGAAAAGCCCCACATGTAGGGAGAGAGGACTGCGTGTTTCCATCTTTTCTTTGTTCCCACGCATAGTCTGAATGCCCGAACAGATCATGTGACAGACCAGAGGCATAAACAAATAAATAAATATTTTAATTTATTTTTAAAACTGCCCTGTATTTTGAATGCTCTAAGCCTGATCTCTGGACACATGCCACACCTATTCTGTCTTGCTCTCGGAAGTGGGGTAACAGGGAGGGGCAGCAGTAGACCCACCACCATCCCTGCGGTGCACAACAGTTTGAAACTGTGACGCTGCAGCAGACTGTCATGCCTGCCCCCGACCTGGCGCCTGGGAGCTCTGAAACTGAGGACTCCGTGCCTTTAACACCATCGGAGGCACGGGAGTCTTTGTCAAACCTAAGTGCCGGAAAGGATGAGCACCAGCCTCCAGAACAGCCTGTACCTGAAACCAATCAGGCAGTGCCTGGCCCCAGCAGCACGCCACCTGATTCTCCGCCACCTGTCGACCGGCTGAGGGATCAGACACCGGGACTTGGCAACCAGATGCAAAGAGGCACGCAATAAGCTCGGGGTTCTAGCAGGATCAAGGACTTCGCGAGGCAGTGCTAATGAGGCACTAATGAATTAACAACTCAGCGAGCTATTTGAATAGGTCGCTGACTGCTGGCTAATTGTGCTGGCAAACTCGTCCTTCGGACCAGAAGCTCTGCACCTCTGACTGTTCCTGGTATCCGGCTACTGACTGACTTCCTGGTTTCTGACTCCAGTCCACGTTTTGACGACCCCCTGGCTCTCGATCTTCGGCTCTACACCCTGACTTCGACGCTTGCCTATCTGGACTCAGACTCTCGGTAACGCTCTGACTACGGCTTGACTTTGTGTATTGGGACTTTTGCTCTGGTTGTTTTGCTCTCTTTCTAGCTCGACTCTTGGACTGGACTGTGGACTCCCACTCTCTGCCTTGCCCCTCTGGCCCTGTCGTGACACAGACTCCCGCTTGCTCCCCCCCCTTGCTCACTTACAGGAGCGCAGCAGGAGGCGTGGCAACTGGGCAAAGCCTTCAGGTGTTAAAAGGAACAGTTGGGGGGGGATGGAAAAACCTCTCTATGCCGGAGACCCTGGAGAGCAGCTGCCAGTCAGAGGAGCTTGGACTCAGCTGGACAGGCCGTGGAGCTGACTCCGCCGAGGGCCGCTTCAGTTGTGGCACTTAAGGGGACCCCCCTCTTGGGAACGGGCGGATGAAAAGCCAGACAAGAGCAGAGTATCTCTGACCCCAACCCAAATGCAGCCCAGCCAGCAGCAGGAGGCAAGACTGAGCAGCTCTTGGAAATATTTATTTATTTATTTATTTTTATTTATACCCCGCCCTCCCCGCGTGCGGGCTCAGGGTGGCTTACAACAGTATGGCACTCAGTGCAATAAAACATGATAAAACAATTTATAACAATTAATACATGGGCCACGCCCAAGGATCCCGCATGACTAAAACCCTCTCTCCATGTTGCACATGCCCTTTCATTCCGAGGGAGGTTGCTGTGGCCCCCTGATGTTAATCTGCCACTCAGCCTCCGGTGGTGCTGCTGAACGGTCCTCATTGGTGGTAGTGGTGCCGCCGCCGGCTCCTATTCGAAAGCCTGGCGGAAGAGCTCCGTCTTGCAGACCCTGCGGAACTGCAACAGGTCCCGCAGGGCCCTGATCTCCTCTGGGAGCTCATTCCACCAGATAGGAGCCGCCACCGAGAAGGACCTGGCCCTTGTGGCAGCAAGCCTGGCCTCTTTCGGGCCTGGGGTCGCAAGACGATGTTGCGACCCCGACCGAAGTGCTCTTTGGGGCCTATGTGGGGCAAGGCGGTCCCTCAGGTATGCCGGACCCTGGCCATGTAGGGCTTTGAAGGTAAGCACCAGCACTTTGAAGCGAATCCGGTATGCTATAGGCAGCCAGTGCGGCGCTTTAAGCACTGGCTGGATGTGATCCCATTTAGAGACACCAGCAACCAGCCTGGCCGCTGCATTCTGCACTAGCTGCAGCCTCCGAATCAGCGACAAAGGCA